CCATTGTGTTCAGGAAATACATTGGCTTAAGGTGAAAGCTTCATTATCAGGGACAAGGGGTCAAGGCTGAATACTGGGGGCTACCGTGCGCCCTTCTTGTATCTTCATGATTTGCGCTGTGAGGCTGCAGCAATGATGCCTGATGAACCAGAGGAAGTGCTTTCCTATCAGCCCCAGGCACGTCTTGTCTTCAGATGTATTCAGATTTGATATTGAAACAGCCATGCCGAAAACATACATATGATTATGACTAAGGGAAGAAGGCATTAGAAACTGTTTGGAAAGCTCAAGACATGCAGGAAGATCTGCAGTTTCAGCTGATTTGGTTCAAGTTTCTCTTGGACTGACCCGTTGCTTGTGCACGTTTCGAGGTGACTGCCACAGTGATGCGTGACGAACCGGCGGAAGTGACTCCCAGTCAGCCGCAGGCGAAGTGTTGTCAAGGTGAAATCAGACCAATCTTCATCCCATCCATCATCTCCCATGGATCATTCTTGGTGCAAAAGCAAGTTGACTTTGCAAAACATGTGACCCTCCTGTTTTGTGCGCAGCAAGGTGGCCAGTCACAACAGAAGGAAGGCTTGGAGTTTTTGTAAAAACTTTCCAGCTGTCAGGCATCAGCGATGCGCGAAGAGCCCTCTGAAGTGCGAAGCGCGAACACCCAGGCGAGAATAGGGCCCTTGCTGTGCCTTCGGCCACTTTTTCAAAGACACCATATGCCAAACAGAAGGTAAACCAGCATGAAGGAACATGTACTCTCCGTTTAGAGAAACACTTTCTCCATTCCCTTCCTTTGGCACATTGTGAGGCCTTGGCAGTGGATGTGAATCCTAGTCAGCTGCAGGCGCTCACATGTCCTTCGTGTCACCTCACCCTCAAGTACTGGTCTTCGTATGAACCAAATCAGGTACTTTTTGTCGCCATCCGTGTCCCTTTGGTTGTTGGAGGTCAGAGACTGACTGCCTAGTGGGCTAGTTCATCTGAATTCCTTTTGGTGCAAGAAATGATCAGAGTCACACGGCCCATGCCAGTTGATTTGGTTGGAGGCCACTGTTTTTTAACTTGTCATGTTTACGAGGCCGCTGAAGCACCAGTGGTAGCAACTGCGACCAGTGAGCAGGCGTGCGGCATGGTCTTGAGATGATCAAGCGCAGAAAGACCTGGTGACCATCAGATAGAGGGGATTTCTGAAGCTTTAGCGTGGAAGGAAGACCTCCTGTGCCCCGTGGGATTGGGCATGTGACATGTGTGATTTCTGGAAGCCAGTAACATTCTAATGTGGTCGATGCTCACATTTAAGTACAATGAGGAATGCAGGTGACTTTCTACAAAGGCACTGGGAACTGCAGTGACTTTCCCTCTGATGCTGCTGTTTTTTCCAGATGGCTCGCCGAGGGCCAAAGGGGTACTTTCTGTGCTTTTTGGGGTTCAGGATTTGCATCTTGCTGTGCGGACGATGTTCTTCCACTCTGACCTCTAAAGGCTTTCAAAAAGGTGGTACCAGTTTCAAGTGGCCTTTCTGCCTGACTTTTCATGCGGCTTCATTGGTTTATGTTGGTTCCATGTTTCGACATCTCCCACAATATCAAGCAAAAACGCTACATCTCAGGGGCGTTTGACCAATTTGTTGCAATTAGTGTGTGCATACCTCTTCCTACTGGATTTTCAGACATGGCGAACATTACCCACTACTTGGATTGACCGATTGTATTTTTGTGCAATCGGCATTTACATAGCCATGCCTGTCAAGAGCCACATTGACACTCCAATAACCACAGGTTTGCAGCCAGAATCGGCGCCTAGAAGCGCTTGAAACCTATTGACCTATTGGCAACATCTGGGGATGCACTTACCAATTTTTCAGCAAATGCAGCTCAAGCCTTGAGCCCTTTGTTCAGCTCACAAATCGTTGCGGCACCAGGAGCTCAAAGCTCTGGAACGGGAGGCGGAAGACGAGACATCTCAAGCGAGCGCAATTCGAAGGGACGGACGGACTTCGCCAGGTGAGTTCACTCGATTGACTTCAATGGCATTGACTTCAATGTACCTCCTGGTTTTGAACTTGGTAGCTGGATCCCCCGGTCTATGGATGGATTTGGGAAAGAGTTTGGTGCACGTGTGGTGCCACTGTAGGGAATTCATGGTGTGTACAGTGTACAGTAGTTATGGAGCAAAGAGGGATACTTCAAGAACGGGGATGTAGAGACGATTGCCCTCTACCAGAGTCTTTCAAAGTTGTTCTTCCAAGCCTTTGTATTTTGTAGAATTTGCTTGTGTGAAAGGATGCCAACACACGTCCCCGGGCTGCTGGTGCAGGTGCAGCAGGTGAAGGCTGAGTACGAGGCTGGATCTGGGATCGGGATCTTGGGTTGCCGCGTCGCTCTTTTTGGGTCATTTTGAAGCGAAACCTGAGCTTCAAGACCAGTACCAAAAATGTCAAGTGGGTTGAAGGATGAGTGGATTACGTAAATTCGATTTCGACCCTGATGTTGTCCACAGTGCGGTGGTATGGATTTTGACAACATGTCGATGGCCGTAGGCATGTTTGCCTTCTTGAACTCGGACCGACACAGGACATTGGCCAGGCTTCTGAATTCTAGATGCAACAGGTCCACAGGTCCTGCCTATTTTGCACGTCGATTTGAAGTGTCCAAGTTACAAAGCAAGACGAGAAAGAGCAAGTCTTAGGGAACCGCCTCACAGAGACAGGCTATTCTCATTCTCACTCTCTTCGCCTTTTCGATTACGTTCTTAAACAATACAGTACATAAGAATTACGTTCCCTCCGTTTCTTGTTCCATCTCTATCCGAACACGGTTGAGCTCCCGTCGCTCGCGATGCGCCGCAAAGCGCCATGAGCGGCATCTCCTGGAGCGCCGAGGACGGGACGACACGGAAAAAAGAACAGATGATTCGTTGCCGAGATTTTTGTTTTGGAATGGGTCGGGAATCCATTTTCAACCGCAGAAAGGCTTGCCCACCACTGCAAACCAAACCGGTCTGCCGGTGCCCAATGATGGGAGAGGAGGTCCACCTGCGCCTCCCAACGCCAAGTCCGCGGACGACGCCCTCGCTGCTCCTGACGCCCCGGCGGGCGCCGTGCACGCCGCTGCCGAAGCGGCCGTTGAGAGCGCGACTGATGCGCAGCGGGGGCGGCCCAGGAAGGCTCTGAAGGAGACCATGCGATGAAGTCTGCAGTCCTCTGACTTCAGACCACGAGACTGGCATGGACTTGGAAACATATAACATATTATAACTATTGCAAAATCATATGATCACTTGGAAAGCTGAGATGGAATTTGACATACAGATCTCTGGAAGATGATGTTCAGACTTGGTTTTGGCCCATCCCCATCCCTGAAAGTGTCCCACAGGGTTTGTCCAGTTAGGGGTGAAAAGGGATCAAATACCCCCTGAGTGGGTTGGTTCTTGATGTTCCCAGCTAAACAAGTCAGGGACTCGGGGTTCTTCCTCCACAAGACACAGCTACATCGTGATGATGTTTGTCTCACGGAAATAAACACGGGCAAACAGGCAATACAACATGGGTTTGTTCTCTCTTATTGTCATGATGACCCTGGCAGTTGAGAACTACTCATGTTGCCAATTGACTTCTGGAGGCCAAGAGTGCTCGACCTCACGGAGTCGAGGCACCTGGGAGTGTTGCGATGGCTTGAAGAACCTCATTGGATTGACAAAATTCGGGCTCCTGTGGCGCAATCCATGCGCCATGGGGGAGAATGGTGCAGATAGCAAAGGGTCTCGCCGTAGAGATCAAAAAGAACATTCCATTGGGTGGGTCCCATTATTTTGAGTGAACTCATCTTTTGGGCTGGCCATCTTAATCTGACCAGTAGCACCTGAGTTTTGCTGCAGATACTCAGACTCGGCTTTGAGAGGTTTGATCTATACCTGTACCTAGTGAGCAAGCTTTTGCAAGGTTTTGTTCAGGGGCGATTTTCTGCGAGTGAGTTGAGAATTAGTTCAAGCAATTCTCATCCCGGGAGGTGAAACAAAGTTGAGGATTGACTCTTGAGATCGCCACTTCACGAAGACATTGTCTTCACGGATGGGATGGGAGAACCCTGGCAGGAGTGAACTCTGGGGATCCGATCTTGTGACTGTAGCCTGTGGAAATCCCAAGGCAGTCCCTTTGTCTAAGACTTTTTAAGATCTTCCCTTGGATTCTGGGATTCCCTGAGGAATCCTCTTAGGGAAAGGTGGTTTTACTGTAAAGGTGGATTTCCAAGAGGAAGATCAGATCTTTGGCTCCTCGAAACTTCCCTGGCCAGACCTTCTCAGCTCAGAGCTATGGCCTCGGCAGACAACGACGCAGGACGATGCCGATATGACGAGATTCGGTGTCGCGAGACGTGCAAGGGGTGACCTGGGGTTAGATACTATGTTCCCAAGTCGTGTCAAAATGCCCAACACCTGAGTTAGGCTTTCCTTCTTCAAACAAGATTGCATTTAGGGAGACTTTTAGATGACAAGTGAAGTAGGTTGGGTACCTGTTGCACAAAGAACTGGCAGGTGCTAGTATACATCGATGACCAAAGGTGGTAAGAAAAAGTGTCACAAGACTCTCCCTGGGTTACTGCTGGTGGCTGTCCAGGTAACTGCATATTTGGCGTGGGTCTCGTGTGTTTTGAGATGAACTCCAAACCAGTTGATAGAAGGCTTTGAAGCAAACTCAACGCACCTTTTCATTGAAAAGTTCCTTGGGGGGCAGAGCTGGTTGGCACCACCGCTGTACTGGCTGCCAGGAGAGCTTCGCAGAGCTCTGGAGTGAGGAGCTGACAGCTCAGGCTCGACGTCCCTCCGGGAGGCAGCTTGAGGAGATCAGGCGCATTGTCGTCGACAGAGAAAGGAAAGAAATGGGAAGAAGGAGTCGAACAGGGTGGCTCTCCTTTTCTCTCTGTGTTTACTCCCCAGATCCATCAATTCACATCAGTTCACTATCACTATTCCAGATTCGGACGAAGACCTTTTGTCGGGGCTGCTGCAATATTATAGTCAGGAACATGACCCGACTGGTTTTCACTTGCTTCTTGAAGCATTTCTTGCTTTGATATGTCGGCGAAACGCGATAATTTAGCAAGAGTCACAGAGTATGGCATGCGTATGGCGGGTTGTTTGTGCGGCTAAGTGTTACGTACCAATTATACTAGTATGTTTGCTCTTCGATTGGGAGGAATAGACTTTTGAGCTTAGCAGTTTGCTTGACGGGACTTGGTCCTGATAGCAGAGAAAAGATGAGAAAAGGAACATGAACTCGGGTCTCGGTAGGCCGAGGTGTATAGAGGCAAGTCCACTGCGCTGAGGTACTGGCGGAGCCCGTCCAAAGTGTCGACAGTTGGAACATGCTGGAACACTGAATGCCGGCAACATCGATCTATTGGCCATACCCCAGTTGCCGGTGCCTTGCAGGATATCAACCGATCTCAGATAAGTCAAGGGACCACTCTCCAAAGTCTAAAGCAAGTTGGCTGTTGCTCCGATCTCCAAAATCATTGACTTGTTGGAGCTAGGTCGTTCAAGAAGTGGAGCTTCTTGACCTCCAGAGAAAGATAATCTATTTCTAATAGGCTCTTTTCCCACCAGGTCCAACTCCACCGACTTCACCAGCCCACTGTGTCCGGCTCACTGGCATCAGCAGGCGACGCTTGGGCCCGGTGCCGTGCCATGGAAATTGCGTGGCCTTGGTTTACAACCGCCAACACCAGCCGCTGGGCGAACGAACCGGCGCTGTCCGGCCAAACGGGCGCCGTGGAAACGGGCGGGACCGGGGTGTTCGGACGGTTCCGGCCGCGGGACTGGGGAGAGAAAGGGATGGATGGTATTTCGAGGCTTTTGGTTGGAAGAACCCAGCTGCTGGAAGAACATGGTCATGGCCATACCCTCTTTCACCAAACCATGTTTGTTCCAGCTGAGGTGAGCAACATATTAGAAGTCTCCAGGGAGATAGAAGGGGCCCTGTAAATGCCATTGCGCTCAGAACGTGGATCAACACTGCAGACCTGGAAACCACAGTTTTCTTTTTTACAAAGGTTTGCTCACTTACCGCCCAATCACTTGCTGCTCAAGAGCAGCATCAAACCTTTCAGACCACCGCGGTTCCACCCGTAGAGCTTTGTTGGATCTAGAGTCTTCTTGACAGAGGTCTCTTAACAGCTTCAGGTTTTTCATATGGAAATCCGACTTGAGAGGTCCCGTGAGAGTTGTTGACAAAACGCTGCACTTCAAGACCCGTAAAGTCAAAATCCAGTAGCTGCTTCCAATATCTTCCAATCTGAGAGGCTTACACTTCGGCCCACAAACTTGGTACATATTCACCTGCTGGCACGATATTCCACTGGTTCAGTGGTTGCTGTTGTTCGGCAAGAACTATCAGCACCAGTCCTCTTTTTGAAGTGCAGCCATTTTCCAAGGTGCATGAGATCACAGGCCAGGCGTGATCTTGTTTCAACGGTGGCGGCCCCACGAGTAGAAGGTGCTACTTGGTCAAGGAAGTGCCACGGAATTCCTGGTTGAGAGGACTTGGCCAGGGAGAATAGCTGGTGTGTGTGTGTGTTTTTGTTTCTTTGTTGACCTTTGAGTTGTGCTTCTTTTTGATGAGGGCTGCATCATTCAAAGCTCCAAATCACTTGCGGTGTTCTCCTCTTTGTACCACCGGTCTGCTCTTTGACTCACCGTCTTGGCTCCAGTGTCCTTGGCCGAGCGGCCGTTTTGGGGAGGCCTATGAAGAGCTGCCGATGAACTTGAAGCCAAAGGTGCAAGAGCTCCTGGGTCCGCGACCCCGGACGGAGGGTCGTCCGACGGTACGACCCCAGGTTCGTTTCCGCGGGAAACACGAAGGGGACTCCGATGGGAAGGATCTGGAAGACAGAGTATGGCTGCTCCCTTGGCAGGGCGAAGGTTCCAACTTCCGACACAGCACACTGAGCTATAGGTCATCAGTCATGATTCATAGTATTTAGAGCTTCTCAGAGCAGAAATTCGACACAAGTGCAGGACACATGCATTTGTGTGTTTTGAATCTGTTTATCAAGGGAGGCCACTGGGTATCTGCGGAAACTTTCGCGCCAAGAGCTTGTTTTCAAGTGCCACCAAATGGCCAGGCCAAAGAGTCCCTGGCAGGGTTTACCTGAAGCAACGGTGGGGAAACTAGTTCTGTAGAAGGTTATTTTTGGTCGAGTCCCTTGTGAACCATCATCATCCACAAGTCGGCACCATTGTTCTTTTTGCTGAGCGAAAGCTGGTCAAACCACTTTCTTTTTCTCCTCCAAGGTGGCATCAAAAGTTTCCAGTTCCCGCGACGGAGGCGTGGCCTGTGTGGCCATAGCGGGTGTTTGGACATTTGTTGAAGCTAAGGCCAGCTAAGGGTCCCTCTGGAAGAAATGGACGTTGCAGAACTTAAGAGTTGCACGGTCGCTACTGCACTAGCAACGCGTAGACAAGGTTCCCTTGGGTTGGTTCATTGTAGAGGAGGTTCCCTCTTGCAGACATGGCTAACTGAATGCCTGAATTTCATACAGTAATTGTTGTTGATTTGTTGCCTTTCGAGAAAGAACAAAAAGAAACGAAACAACAAGAACAACATATACCTTGATTTAACTTCTGAGTAAATAGCTATTGCTGAAGGTTCCCGCTGCAATGACGGCCTCTTCTTCAGTCCAAAGATATTCATTTCTATTGCATGCAGGAGCTCCCGTTGCAGGGTGGAGGAACAACCCTATCATACTGAATGTCTGAATGAGCCTATTCTTTCTGTCAAACCTTCCAGAGCACCCATGGCCCCAGAGGGCTCCCTCGACCCTTTCGTTCGCTCGGGTCACAGAAGCGTTACGTAAGGAACATCCAGAACGACTCACGAGAGACGGAGGTGAAGGCTTTGAACTGGTGGGGTGCAACCGGGCTCAGTGCTGGGGCTCGAGTCGCTCAACCATATTTGGCTTAACTATGAGCATGCATGAGCATCCATGAGTCCATGGGTTTCAACTTTGGACCTTCTGTTGAAGCTATGAGCATGCTTCTAAAGAGTGATGGGCCATATGAATCCTGTGATGTGTTTTGGAACCTGTGAGGGTCACTTGTGAGGATTTTCTTCTATATAGACATTCTCTGGAAGGGATTGGGACTGTCACATGTCATCACATGTCACCCTCCCCACAGGTCTTTCACCGTATTTTTCAGAGCATGCTCTTGGCCATTTGGCTAAACAAGGTGGCCCTTGCCGAAAAAGAACTACGTGCTTAGATGTCACGGAGCGGTTCAAAAAATGAACCGACCTTGGAGTCCAGGTATAGCTTTTACAACCTTGAAGAATCCTTTAAGTTCAATGGGGAGTCACCGACTACCAGAGTTCTTTTTCTTTGAATCCATCAACATCATCGAGTATACGAAATAAAAGGACCGGATAACCCCACATGATAAGTTTTACACATGTCAATTGTATATGAACATCACATGGGAGACGGAGTAGTGAGATGAAAAGTCAAGAACGAAGTGTGAGGAGAGAAGGTATATGAGGCGGTTGTGCTAAGACGTGTAGTATAAGTGATGATGTGATGGACGAGGATGAGAAGGAGGGGAGGGAGGAGGTGTGTGTGTGTGTGGTAAGATGGCGTGCGTGTGTGTGTGGGTGTGTGATAAAGTGTCTGATGATGTGATGAACAAGGATGAGAGGGACGAGAGAGAGAGAGAGAGATAGAAGGAGGCGGAGAGAGAAGTTTGGAGGCTCTGGGGTTATCCGGTCAGATCCGCATGAGACCTTCAAAACGTAACACACTCCAAACGACCATCAAAGCTGTCAAGTGGTCTTATCCCGACCACGGCGGGCAGTGCTAGCAGGATGTAAAGTGGAGTGAGTGAGTGGAGTGAGTGAGTGGAGTGAGTGAGTGGAGTGAGTGAGTGAGTGAGTGAGTGAGTGGAGGGAGGGAGGGAGGGAGGGAGTGAGTGAGTGAGTGAGTGGAGTGAGTGAGGTCTCTGGACACTGCGCCGGCCACTGCGGAGAGCGGCGACCACGCGCGCCGCTCTGCAGTCTCTGGACACTGCGGAGAGAGCCGGGCCCCTGCGGAGAGAGCCGGGCCCCCGCGGCGACCACGCGCGCCGCAGCCCCTTCTGCAGTCTCTGGACTCTGCGCCGGCCACTGCGGAGAGAGCCGGGCCCCCAGCGGCGACCACGCGCGCCGCAGCCCCTTCTGCAGTCTCTGCCCTTCTGCAGTCTCTGGACACTGCGCCGAGTGGATATGTGAGATGAGAAGACGTGAGTGAGTGAGTGAGTGAGTGAGTGAGTGGAGTGAGGGAGTGAGTGAGTGAGTGAGTGGAGTGGGGTGAGTGAGTGGAGTGAGTGGAGTGAGTGGAGTGAGTGGAGTGAGTGGAGTGAGTGAGTGAGTGAGTGAGTGAGTGGAGTGAGTGAGTGGACGGCGGGAAGGAGCGAGGGACGGAGGGAGGGACGGGCGGGCGGAGTCGGGCGGGATGGCAGCCAAAAAACTAGAACCCCACACAGAGATGTGGGGAATAATTCTTTACACTCTGAAAGAAAATTGCCCTTGGGAGGCTGCTTTCTAGAAACAGGGGTTTGTCCCTCTGTGCTCGTGCTGCTGCAGGTGCCAAGCACCTCAACACTACCCCGCTTTGTCTTGATTAAAGGAACCACTTGTACCATTCGCACCGCCCACCCGCGGAGGCGGTTCATGTGGTGGACCGCCGGCTCTGGGGCCAGTGGGGATTGGATCCTGATCGGTTCACGTGGCGGAAGTCCTGACAGCCGCTGAGCACCGGAGCCGCTTCACCAGGATCACGACGATCGGAGTTGGCCTATGGAGGTTAACTCTCCCTTTGTATCATTTTGTATCCTGAACCTTTCTTGAGAGAACTTCTTCGAAGCATTATTATTCCTTTTCACCACGTGTCTTTTTTGTGTATGGCCGTATGGCCAGAGAATAGGAATCTGTTGAATGTTGAAAGACAAGAAAGATCAGCAGATTATACAGTTCCTCTCATCCTTGATTGACTGGCCATACCCATTCTCAAAGCACTCCAAGCTTTGACGTTCTTTTCACAGATCTTTTTTCTAAAGGCGAACACCTGCAAGCTTGGAAGTGGCAAGGAGTAGCCAGCACGGCAGAGTTTCGGGTGCCACGGCGACGTCATGTCTCGTGAGGACGCCTTCCTTCTGTTACATTCAGTTCCATGATTCCATGATTCTTAATTTATTACTTGGTAGAGATCGACAGGTGCATTGCATTCTGGAAGTGAACATAAATCAAAGAACATGGAAATCTCATCCGGACATGATCTGCTCTGTTGGCTGCCCTCCTTTGTCTTGTGTTTCCACGTCGATGTGTTACGAACCCGACCGAGTTCCGAGAGCCTCCGGAGACCGGACCCTCTCTACGTCGGTCCAAAGAGATGAACCCGCTTTCAAGATCTGAAAGGTCCCTCTCCACGTGACTCAGCAAGCAAAAGATGCAAAAGGGGGAGGAGGTGATCTAGAAGGCCTTCGAAGAGCTGAAGGAAGATCGACAGAAGAGTTTTTGTTTGAAGGGCGAAGCACATATGCATGGTGGCATCAGGAAGCTGGAACCCCCTCAATCCTTGAAAAAGACGTATAGGCACCCATTGCTGCTCCCAGGTTGGTGAGGGGATGATTTTCACTTTTTGAAGTTGACAAGACCATGTGGCTTTGATCCGCTGCTGTGCAGCTCAAGTGTGGCTTGAGGCAACATGACACTTTGTGCACATCTCAAGGTCGATTGTGAGACCTCGCGGTTGATTCTTTATTCTTTCAATATTTGTTCACCCCTTGTCTTTTCTCCCTGCAAAGAACCCAGCTTGTTGCGGAGCACGAAAGTGACTCCAGCTTTGCAGCATGCCATGACCTAAAATGATCTAACTACGTACCGCCATGCGAGCTCGTGCGGCTCTCCTATGCCTTTGTGCCCTTGGGGCCTATATCCTTTGGACCTCTTCCACAGACCAACTCGTGCAGAGCCTTCCCAGCGAATCTCGCCCTTGGTTGGATACGTCTCCAGATCCACTCACTCCACTCACTCCAACGCTGCCAACGCACCCGGACCAACCAGCCACGGCTCCGGAGGCACCGGTGGAGCCAACCCAACCCGCAAGCGCCGTGGACGTCGTGCCTAGCCACCGGCCGCCGCAACCGTCGTCGCCTCGGCCGCGGAAGACCCACAATGCGTCGGCGTGCATTGGACCGACGGTGCCTCCGGCTCTACCACCCAAGGAGGCTGAGGCGCTGAAGGCGGAAATCTGGAGGACGACGAAAGCGTGGGGATACCATGAGCTGGCACAGAACTATCGACCTTTCAAAGGGATGGATGTCTTAGATATTGGCATGGGACAAGGGCCTATGGGTGTCGTGGCGATTTCCGTGGGCGTGAAGTCCTACAAAGGAATGGATCCAGCCTTGTGCATCAACCAGCGTGCACGGACACGTGATAAGACGGTAGGCCGAGCGCCGAATGAAGGCGAATGTTTGTTGATTCGAGACTCAGCGGAATGCAAGAAGGAGGGCGAGACCTGCGAGAAGTTTCGGTCCTGTATGGATCTTTGGCGCAAGAAGTATCATACCTTTCCCTACACTGGTTTGGAGATCATGCAAGCTTATGCAGGCCAGGACATCCGGTCATTTTTACTTGGTGTTGCCCTTCAGCTTGTTTTCTTTTTTTTAAGCTTGAGAGATCAAAGACAAGGGAATTTCTTAATCATAATCCATGGTTTCTTCATGGTAGCATTTGGCATATCTAAAACACCGATAATCACACACCTTCTCTAAAGAATTCTCAGCTGGTGCAGAGTTCAATCATGTTCAATCCACGAACCGTCGGGACGGATTCATACAGATATGACCCGCAGGGCGGATTGTTCTGCTGCCGGGGACCTTTGCAAGTTTGCAACCTAGTGGATTGATCAAGCACGGCAGCTTTCAAGTGGCCACCATGTGGTTAGTCACGGAACACTTGCCCAACAATCGGGATGTGATTGAAGGGATTTTCGAGTGGACCACACCTGGGCAGCTCTTAGTCTTGAAGCATCACAACTACTATGGCTTTGATGGACATCATCAGAAACTTGGCCTGAAGCAAGGAGAGCCTTGTACAGTATCCCTTTTTTTTTCAGCTCAGGTCAACTTCCCCCCTTCGTTTTCAATCAGCCAAAAAGACCTCTCAGGCTCGGTAGATGGTCTCTTTCGCCCTTTTGAGACTCTTAACGGCTCCATCCAACACCCACTTCAAACGGCTTAGCGGAGTGACCGCCTCAGGAAGCCGCGCTATCCCGAGAAGTACGATCCGACGAACCCCTCGGAGACCAGCGTCGCCTTTTGGAGGCACTTGAATCCCACGAGCCCCTCGGCGGTTTCTCGCAGAGAGAGACTCCGGATCACGGGTGTGTGTCTGCGTGGGTGTGTGCATGTTGTCCTGTCTTGAACTGGTCACGACATGGTCGGTTTTGGGATTTGGAGATGTTTCTTCCTAAACGACCTTGGTGAGGTCGCGTCTTGTTAAAGATTGCGGATTGACGGAAAAAGGATCACAAGAGTCATCCCGATCCTTACTTTCTTGCTCAGGAAGGTAGGGTACTTGAGATAGCTGTATTCAAGTTCTTGCGTGTCTTGCAGGGCATGCGGCTTGAAGGTTTGCATCAGAGCCACAGTAGTGCAAAGGAGATTGTCGGTAAACAAACACCCAATTGTTTTGGGGACTCATCAACCCCCTTGAGCCATGGAGGCAAAACGAGCCTGACTTGGATTGGGTTTCCAACTGCAAAATTCGGCTGTTGTAGTCTTGTTGATGCAGGTTTTGCAGAAAGCATTACTACTACTACTACTACTACTACTACCATTACTAGTAACTAGTAGGTCACTTTGGCAAAGAAGCAGGGTTCCAACTATTTATGGCCATGTCCAACTCCAGCCCGTTGGAGACTTGTGACAAAAAGGAAGATTTCCCAGATCTGAAGACCACCATCTTCCAGATCCACTGACTGAAGCTTGCCCGGCTGTTGCAACTCTTGATTCCACTGACTCAGGTTGGGTTTTCAACTCCACGAACACCAACCGCGTCCGCCTGGGGGATTTGATCGCCTTGATCGACGTGTACTTCGACTGCGCCTGGCGAGCGACCTTCGAGTCCAAGTGGAGCCCCGCGTTGGACGCCAAGCTTTGGGAGAAATTGAAGATGCTGGGCCAAGAGCTGTGTGCTTTTTGGGTGTTCACAGAGAAAGACCCTTTGGGCTTTTGGGCGTTGGGAGGGAGTTGGGGCGAGTCAGAAGTTTGAGCCAAGGAGAAAATCGGTGGTGAAATCGGACGTACCCTGCAGAGGGGAAGGTGATAGATTTCTATAGATGTCCGTATTCAAGAGGTTTTTTGCGTAGACCAAGCCAGTGCTTGAGGCGGGGTGTACTCCCAAGTGATTCAGGCGATGAAAGACAGTCATAGACAGCCAGTTGGCTCACGACTAATGATCTTCAGTCAACCATGAAAGCCACGTGGTTTCTAGAGAAAAAGTTCCTGTGGCCTAAAGGACATGGCAAGCTTTAGGCGATTGTTCCGTAATGAGCAGTTAAAAACTGCTGTTGGACCCCCAGCAAGACACTTCTGTGAGCGCTAAGAAGTTGACATCAGCGAAAAGGGAACGGTCCACAGTGCACAGGTGTTTGGGGTGAGGCCGTCGGATCATGTTTACGAAGAATCGAGGATGAGATCCGGAATCCCAAATCGTAAATATGTACGGGACGGATTTGGGATGACACAAGGTTCCATGATTTATGACATGTGTATTCAGCAATTTTTACCATCCACATTTGGGAACTCTGCAGAAAGATGCAGAAAGCACATCTTGAACAATGGAAAATACTGTTTTCCACTCCTTATGAGCGTCACCATTTGTTATAGTTTGTTTGTCTCTTTGTTTGTTCTTTTCCCCATCCCACCCGAGGAACAGAGGCTTCGCACGAAATGAACTGCTGATCAACAAGTGGAGTGCAGCTTGTGCTCGACGTGAAGCGCCCTTGCCGGCCACGTGGTTGGAGTCCAGCACCTTGATGCGACAAGACGAGCCGACGTGAGTCGACAGACAGAAAACACGACTGGCGGCTGGGGACATCATAATTTAAGTTACTATTACCTTGGAAGTTGTATGGACCATCAATGACCATCAATAAGTATTGTTCTTCAGCAAGGCAATAAATATGAACCCGGAGGTAGATCACCGCAGCTGCGCAGGTTGTTCTTTTTGTGTGACTGATGGTACATAGAGCTTTGGATAGATCTAGTGACTGTTTCTCTGTGTCCAGCCACAATTGTCGATGGACAGAGCATGGCACCTGCCGAGCGTCATTGGCTGAGCATATTCAAAACTGACTTGCTTGACAGGTGGTGCTAACAATTCAAAATGGTGTAGATTATTTGGTGAACTACTCCAACATACAGACAAGATGTAGACATCCCCAGGGATGTAATGTGACGCCCGTCCACAGAAGTGGCTGGCCTTGTGCTTTCCCTCAGGAGTATGGCTGCTCCCCGCCACAGATGGTTCCTATGAACCCATGCCGCTTCCGGATCAGCTGATGTCCAAGCATCGTGGAAACACGGTGACGCGGATTCCAGCGAAGCAGAAGCACCTGGAGCAATACTTGGCACCTTAAGAGGGTGGTGAGGTCCATGTCAGTTGGCTGCCGAGCGTGGCCTTTTTGGTCGCTGTGGAGACAGTGGTTGATGATGAAGAAATTCAGAGAGGTGGGACCTGCCAAGTAAATGTAGCAATTGCCAAATTAAGAGCTGCAATCGAAATTACGCAGAGTGGGTCTTGGGTCTTTGAATGTCCCAAGCTGCGTGGCTGGAGCACGCCCAGACAGTGGGTGTGTCGAACCAACGACGTTCAGATCAGAGCTCCATTGCGGAGCTTCTCATCTGCCCCACTGCTACCGCACAGCACCAGAAATGCGTCGCCAAGAAGCTTGTCCAGAATAAAGAGATATAAAGAGTAATTGTAGGAAATACATTCAGAGCTTGTGGTTTTTGGAACATGTGTAGTGGAGAGGGGTATATTCAAGCGACTTGGAGAACATAAGCATCCCGCCTGGAAGTTCTTTAGAATCATCACCCCAGGCAACTTCTACAGCGAATGCTACACCAGAACTTCGTCGAGAACGCTTTGGTCGCTCCAAATTTGACGCTAGGCTAGGCACCTAAAGACGGGAAGGAGGCTTTGGAAGAAGGTTTCGAACCCCCAGTCTGATAATATCTCCTACGGTAATTCTTGGACACGTCCACATCAGCTATGCCTGATTCTTTGTGAATGTACTGGACATGGTGGAAGCAGAAAACCCTTGCATCATCATTTCATCATGCTATTGTATCCACTGGAGTCATAGCAATGCCACCCCAAGTTCCCTGAAAGCACAGCGCCGACCGCCAGCGACAGCTACCCCAGGATGGCGTGAAACACATCGTTTCACATGGGCCTTTCATCGACCGTGCCACGAGTTTTGATCCAAAAGGAAGGGCGCCGTTCACAAGCGCATTCTGCACACGATGCGTCGTCCTTCGCTTGAAACGGGGTGACCCGAGCAGATCGATCCTGCTTGATTGGCGATGCAAACACCAGCATTGGATGCGTCTAAGTCTAAGTGCACAAAGAAGAGCTACGAAGAAGGCTGTTTTGCTGTGAATTCACTACACGGTTGTCCTCTCTTGTTTTGCTTTGGTTTGAAGTGTGCAACATCCTACTAACTTTAACCCACATGCCACATGTCAGACAGTTTCCAGGATTTTCCAGGCACTCAAACCTGGGTGTAGCAACTCCTTGTTCATCTCTTTTCATCACATTTTTTAGTGCAGCCAGGCGAGGCTTCTGGGAGCAGCTCAGCAAATTGGGCACTTGCAGGTGCGGTGGGAGCAGAGCTTTCTGGAGCAGTGAGAAGCTGAATGCCAATTCTAATCGAAGGTGCGTTTGAGATGCTGAATGGTTTTCTTTGATATTATATAGATTTATATAGTTGTTTATATATATATATACACACATGTACAAAACTTGCAAAGAGTTCAGGCTTACACCATGATACTTTAACCCTTGGTTTCGTCGTTTCACAAGTTCTCCTTCAGACGAGGGTCTTTGGTGGGCGGTGGGCGGACAGACTTTTCTTCTGCCAACGACTGTGAATTTGGACATTCTTTGGGGAGTGGTACTCGTTGGATTTTGCATCAAATAGGAAGACCCCTAAGCTTAACTTGCAATGTTTTCTTTTAAGCCCGTGGCCCGGCCCTGCCTCCTTACTTAATTAAGTAGGCGCCTGCTTAATTTAGTAAGGGTGTAAACTCAGGGCGACTAGTTAGCTTCTTGTAACTGGACGCAGGATAGCTCATGCTTCATCACGGACGCTTCCTTGAAGAAGCACTCGCACGAATGAGTTGGTTCCAAGATTTTAAAAGAAACATAATACAATTTTCACATATGTTATATTTTCACATTCTCCGTCCGATCCTTTTGAAGCTCAATCTTTGTGCGGGCACTTGCTGTGCCAGGTGATGCACACTTTGTGTCCCGAGCAACCGTTTGTCCTTGTCTATCATGTTCACTAGGGTGGCTGCTTTTTGAAGGATGAAGTCACTTCCAGCTTCCAAAGCAAACGCAACCACCGGACCACCGTGCCGACTTCCAGGAATTAACGCATTTGGTGTCGTTTCTTCCTTTTGGTTTCCGCGCTTTCAGGGGCGAATCGAAGAGTTGGAGACGGAGGTGAGCACTGCAAAGGCCTATGAGCTGCAGGCGGCATCGATTGGACCCAGCAGAATTGGTCTGGAACAGATGGGGAAGTTGGGATCAATATAGTGACAAGTGCACAATAAGTGCGTATAGTCTTACTAGGGGATCATATATCATCTCACTTACTATTGATATGTCACCGTGTTAAGAGCGTGTATGTAGAACTCTTCCACACATGGACGGTGTTATCTCGACCCAACGTGTCCATATGGTGCGACCAGGTACGCCCAGAAATTTTCCACCGGGAGTTGGCCCAACCACCGACCTGGAGATGGCAGATGCTTCAGAGGATACCCAGCTGACCAAGGCTCCAAAGCAGATACCAGTACTCAGTACTCTTAAAAGCCTCCTGGTCCTGGTATAGAAAACAGAACTAACACCTGCAAGTCCTTGCGTCTTACTCTTTGAGCCACAAAGCTTTGTGCCCACCCCCTGTGTCGCTTTGTGGCTGAACACATCAGATCACTGAAAAGATGAGTGCTGCCACCATGCAGCTCACGCAGGGCGCCCCAGTGCAGCACAGACGTGGATACCACCACTCCCAAACTCCCATCAGAGTTTCATCCAGTTCCGAACATGGACATGGGTACAGGATGACAGGATGCTACTGGATAGACCAGAGTCTTGTTCCTAGGCAAGGCCTTCCTTCCTTTATTCTCTACCAAGTTGCGGTCCTTGGATTTCTCCACAACATGAGGATGTTTTCTTTGTCTTAAGGTAGGGACTTGTGAGAGGGCCATATGATCACAATCAGACATGTCGGCCGGAGGTCTCTTGGGACAGACCGCTCCCTGCAACAGTCCAACCGGTGAGGTGGTTTGTTTCCGTGGGACTTTGGTTTGAATGACAGGGTGATAGGGACATTGATGGACTTGCGATGGCCTCCAACCTACCAGAGATGGCCTCTTGTCATCTTCAGAAAGTACACAGAGCGCGTCAATCTCGATCCTTGAATGGCCACCTGGAATTGGACTGGATCCCACCAGGGAGCAGCGAGCAGCAGCTGAGAGGGCTCAGGCTGCCCAACAGCGAATGTGGAGTTGAGGGACGTTGATGTTGCTTAGTGTTTCAGGCAGTCGCACAAGAATGACCTTGGAGGATGTATCCAACTCTGGATTTGGTTTCTTGTTTGGGGTGAGCGGGTGGATGGCTGCGGCTTCGAAGGAAAAGGGCTCTTCTTCATGAGAGAGCAATGTGAGTAAGCAAAAAGCCAGATCATTCTGAAGCTTGTTTGGGGGCTCTTCACGAACGCTTGGTCATTGAGAAACTCGTGGAAGATCGTTTGGGTGTTGCTTGCACCCTCCACTGTGGGGTGCTCTCGCCACAATCCCCCCAACGCAAATTCTTCAGCCGATCCACATACTTCGATGGTTTCAAGTGGGCACACAATAACAAAATGGGGTGGGGCAATATCCAAATTTTTTAAAGCTGACTTGATCTCCGTCTTGAATCCAAAGTCCCTTTATCTCTGTCACCTTCAGCGAAGGCTCCTTGTCGCCCGGCCTCCCGTCGTACAACGCTCGGTGCCGTCACGCGGCGGAGAAGGCCAGCGTGGAGCAACTGCGAAGAGAGGCCAGGCGAAGCGGCGCTCTATGCGGCCTAAGCGGCGCCGCGTGGAGAGGCATGAAGTCACGTGTTGGTCAAAAGTCAAGACCAGTCGAAACCTATTGCAGTGGATGAAGGGGGAGGAACTATAGATCTAGAATAGATCTAGACAGTTCTTGTTGTAGTTGTAGTGCCTTTCCGTGAGAGAACGTCCCAAGGGTGACCCCTGAGCGGACCTCAGGTGGTGGAAATGGGTTTCCACATGGAGTTGGAATCGAAAGGACCCTAGGGCCCTAGGGCTCTAACCACATCCTCAGAAGGTAGTGAGAGCCCCATGACACCCACCCCAACCACCTTCTCATGAGGTAGTTGGAGACCTTAGGGGAAATTCTTTGAAACCAGGATGAATCACCAAGGGGCAAATTTAATAGATCCGACAGCTCAAAGAAGTCTTCACGACCTCAAGGATTTGACAACAGCACCGTGCCAGCAAGGTCGATGTGAGGTTGCATTGGACCTCTGAACTTCCAAAAGATCAGGGGTGAACAAGGCACCCAGTGACACCCAGGTCCCCGGCACAGGCTCAGGTCCTGCGTGAAGAGGCAACGACGGGCAAGACATGGCGAGACGAAGAAACGACGGTCCTGCTGCAGGAAAGTCAGTTGCAAGGTGTTTTCGGTGTGGCCTGATGGTATGAGGTTGCTCTTTTCGATCAACAGCAGTGAGCTGAGTTGAGCAAATGGAGATGGGTTGAAGAACACTCGCATGCTGAAAATCATCAGCTAACCATTGGGGTGTCGTGCGTGCAAAGTTCATCTAAGTTCACTACGCATGAAACCGCCGCCACTGTCGAAACCGTGTCAAGGCGCAACTGAGTCCACTCGAGTCAGGCGCAGTCGGCAGCACTTGTGGCCAAGGCCAAAGCCAGTGAGGACAGCCTGAAAACGGTGACGGTGGGACCTGGGAACAACGTGAGAGTCCCAACGAGCCATCCAACAGAAGGAAGTGATGATAGTGTGGATAGAGCAGGCACTCGTAGTGTGGGGTGCCAAGAGGATTTGTTCCCTGATTCCTTCCTCACCCAACGCATGAATCACATACATGTACCTATTAAAAAAATATCATATATCAAGTCAAATCTTGGGCGAGTTTGTCCTGTACTTGTCCTGGCTGATGTAGCCAGGAGTCGGATGCGGCTCTTGGTCAGGTCGAGATGATTCGGTTTCGGCACACAGAATCTCACCGAGGGTCGTCAATCAAGACTTGCGGCTCTCCTTGGAAGTGGAAGATGGAATCCCAAAACGACCAGTGGGGTGCATATGTGTATGTGTGTGTTTGTGTGTCCACGCTGCTTTTTTTGGACATAAATTGAAAGTCAGATTTGAAGACCAGAATCTTAGTGGACTTTAATTCACTGATGTTTCACCCTCAACAAGGCGTGAACACAGGGCTCATTTATTTCGTTCTTCCCAAGCGACAATTGGGGTCAGAGCTCACAATTCAACATGAGCCAGCAGGGGATTTCGGCAGTTCCATCGGTAGTTTGGGAAGAATGCTCAGCAGTGAGTCAAGACACTTGAGAGAACTGGGGCCCAACATACCTCCAAACACCACTGCAGGCTGTTTAACAACTGACCTGACCACAGCTGCGCACTGCACAAATCAGATGGAACCCCTTTTAAATGCTTCCCGCGGGAGCACTCCCTTTTTTCGCAAGGAAAGAGATCGATGTCTAGAGTTCCGACCAAACGAGAAAAAATGGGACTTGATCGGATCCGAGCATCACATCGGCAAACAGACCAGTCCAGGAGTTTCACTGTGATTTGAGGCTTCTTGCAGTGACAACTTTGCAGCAAAAGATGACCGTGAAAGAGAGCCATGGCTTGTAGCCACTGACAGTTCCTGTGCTGGTAGTTTACCTTTCTTTAGTGCTCATGAGGTGAATGGAAGCGCTGGTTGGTTTGAAGGGAGGTTGTAGGGCCTTTGCAGGGGCTTTAAGTTGACCTCCTGAATAACTGTCATTTGCATCATGCAGCTTCACTTCCGACTTCTGTCAGGTCCGGGAGGAGATGGAAAAAGAGTTGGAACACCTGCTGAAACAGAAGGATGACCAGGTGCCTGCACTTTTGGCACCTCATGCGCCATGGAGCAGACTGAACATGACTGAATAGTGGGCTGTTGTG